GACGGGGCTTGGAGCAGCCTGGGCTGGTGGAGGTGTCCCTGCCCATGGCAGGGGTTGCACTGGAGGAGCTGTAAGGTCCCTTCCAACCCAAACCATGTTGTGATTCGGTGATTCTTTAATATATAATGAAGTTTCTGCATGTCAAAGGATGCTTTGGGCCAGGTCAGCCACGAGAAAGCTTGCATGGACACAGGACAGTGAGAAAATGATGATGTGTGGGTCCAGTGTGATAGGGAGATGTTTGCAGGGAGAGACAAGGGATGGGTGGAACTGGGTAATGGAAGGGAAACATAATTTCCTTGCAAACTGAAAAAAATTGAGATACTATCAGCAAGAAGTGGTAAATATGGAAGTCCCTGTGCTGTTTTGATAACTTGTTCTTTATAGACTCTTCATATTGTTCATGATCACAGAAATTCAAAGGGAAGCCAGCTTTAAGAGCTGTCATCAGAAGGGGAAATTCTTTGCCAAAGGCAAAGCCAGAGACTCAGTCGAAGTCCCGTGTTGTATAATGCAGTTTACTGGGTTAGTGATGAAGAAATAACAAATCTCATTTCCTGTTACTCCCGGAAATAAATGAACGTGTAGAAATTCATCTACGTAGCCAGCCTGACCAAGAAGTGATGGAGGACTTTCCCATACTCTGGGATTCTTCCTACTCAGGAACGCACCCTGAAGAGTTGATTTTGGGAAAGACAAGAAAATCAGTGTACTTCGTGATACAGCAGTCAGAGGTTCAGAGCAAAGAGCAGAAGCCTCCAGGCTTCTTCTGGTCCTGAGCTGAGGAGGGGATGTGGTGGTTGGTCTTTGTCAGAGCCTGAAGGGACAACAGCAGAATGAGGGAGGAAGCTGAGCTTCAGGAAAGTCTCACATTTATCCTGATGATGGGTCATGCTGATAAGAGGAGACAGATAAAATTCTTGGAAGAAAAACCCACTGAAGGCTGTTCAGCACAAAAATACTGCCCCTGACTCAGGAAATTCCTTAACTGCTAATTGTCCAAAAGATAGCTTAGAAAAACAGATTGTGGATTATACCGAAAAGATTGATTATTTTAGGAAAGTATTACTGTACGCTTATTTTATTCTTATGTTCTCCCCTAGGCATCTGCTTTTGACCGCTGCTGGAGACAGGATGCTAGGCTAGATGGACCCTCAGCCTGACCCAGCATGGCCATTCCGTTAAGAATAACAACAAATATTTTTAGCAGAGGGCTGCAGCCAGGGGCTGTGACCTGTTGCTACACCCCGAGCTCTTGCAGAAGTCAGAGATATTTACACCCGTAAGAGGAAAGAAAAGGGATGGTTACTTCCACACTTGTGTTTCCTGATGGCAAGGGCATCTTTGTTGCTGCTATTGGGGCTCTTGCAGTGAGCAAGAGCAGCATCAGAAAACAGTCTGGAGGTGTCTGCGCCCTCTGCTTTCATCAGTGAGGTGCAGGTGTGGGGCAGGATTCGGCTGCTCACACAAAGGCATCTCGAGTCACTTGAGAGGCATCAGGAGGTCCCACATGGCCTCTACCTCCTGGTAGGCACAGTGCATTCGTAAGGCTGGTGTCATAATTGCTAGCCCATAACAGATATCTTGGACATTGTGGGATCTCCTGAGTGACACTTTGTGCGTGGAAATGAGCCAAGCTCCTTCAGGACACAGCATCCCTGTTCAACACAACGTGATGGTGCTGTGCAGCTCCAGAGGACACATTTGGATTTTGGTTTCTACTGCAGAACCAGTTCCCTGTCTTCTCATCATCTGCTCCATTCCTGGCTGTGCTTGGGATGCTAAAAACTGGTGTCTCCTGTGGCCTTGAATAGTCCCCCTTTTGGCTGCTCTGTACAGCGGGGCTGTATTTAGCAGCTCCCCTGCTCACTCTCTGGAGCACAGACACTTCCAGGATGCAGCTTTTCCATCCCAGCAGATCTGCCCCAAGTGCGATCTGTCTCAGCAGCTTATTTCAGGTAGTGATAGAACGAGGGGGAATGGTTTTAAACCGGAAGAGGGGAGATTTAGACTGGATATTAGGAAGAAATTCATGACTGTGAGGTGGGGAGACACTGACCCAGGTTGCCCAGGGAAGCTGTGGATGTCCCCTCCCTGGCAGTGCTCAAGTCCGGGTTGGACGGGGCTTGGAGCAGCCTGGGCTGGTGGAGGTGTCCCTGCCCATGGCAGGGGTTGGACTGGATGAGCTGTAAGGTCCCTCCCAAGCCAGACCATGCTGTGATTCTATGATTTCTCTGTACAATCATCTCTAGGGATGTGAAGCTCATTGCTTTCATATATTTGTCCTCTTTCCTCCTGAAACTCAACGATTTTTGTTTCTTCCTGACCCTTTATAGAAGTGCTGCTTTCTTGTTTGACAGTGGCTGGGTCTGTTTTCTCTCTCTGTTCTCATCAAGGCAATAATTTTGCACTTTAGGTTTCATGTTGTTATGCTTGCTTTCCAATACTTCAGGCTTTAGTTTGACTGTTAAGAGGAATGCAAAGCCTGCACAGCATTATAAGTTAGATGCTGTGTGGAGTGGCACAGCTTAACTTGGAGGAGTTTCTTGCTACTTCTTTGTGTTGGTTTGCATCCTTTTCCCTTAAGGTTCTTCAAAGCGATCTCTGACCCTCATTTGGTCTTGTTAACTTGTATGGTTGGGCCCTGTTTCCAGCTGGGAACTTATCCATGCCAAATTAGTGAACGTCTTTCATCCCTTTTCACTGGACCCATTGGTAGTTCCAGTGCGACAGGGCCCCCAGTTTGCAATTTAATAAAACCACAAGGCTGCAGTGTTGCCCAAGCTCTCAGGTTTATCCTGTAGGGATAAATGGGGTCTGGGATTACAGCACGATGCCATCAAAGCTCTGCAGGTGGACTTGACGAGGTGCATCAGGAGAACACTTGCACTGAGCGTTGTGTGTCAGCCATGAGTGGTGAGGAGCCATGGGCACCAACCTAGAAGTGCAGGTCGGGCCAGCACTGATGCAGCTAGGAGAAGCAAGAAGAGATGTGAAGCAAATACACTTTAAATGGACATTTCTGTGTTGAGCACTAGTATTTGTGTGCCTTTAAACCATTGCCTGTTCTTGCCTATTCAGCAGTATTTTGGGTTGTGAACCTGGCTACCAAGGGGACCATGGCACATGTAGGCACATGTAAGCACATGTAAGGCGCTGCCTGCGTGCATCCTTCCCATGAATGTTCTGATCCCGTTGGCCAATTCAAAGCAGTTTTGTCACGATTTCAAAAGCACTGACTTACCTGACTTGAAATGTGCACATCTTGTGGCAACAGGCAGCTGGCAGAGAGGTGGGACCCGAATTTGTGCTTTAGTGAGAAGGACCTGAGTCTCTAACGTGGCTTGGGAGGTAGGGGCAGGAGAGAGGCAGATTGGGAGTGCTTCAGGCTCCAGAAAAGCTTTGATTGGATCTGGCACTTTATTAGATCGCAAATAATGCAGTCATGAGATGCAAAGCCATGAGGTGGAGGCAGAGGATGGGGCCTCAGGAGGTGAGGTTCCTGCAGAGCCACTTGGCACCGATGAGGGTTGGGCTCCCACCTGCATCTGGCACTTCCAGATCCTTCACTGCTGCACCAGTGATCTCTGTAGCTGTGTCAGCCTTATCCTCTGAGTGATCAGTAATTTTGATTGATACTTGGTTTTTGGTTTCTTTAGTCTTAAGTAAAGGACAAGGTTCTAGGGAGTTTCATATTTTAGTGAATTCCTGTTTTCAAATCTCCTTTTACTTTCAAGTTCTGCTGTAATTGCATATGGCAGGGGCTGCAGGGTTTCTTGTCACTTCTCCAAAGACTTTACATTTAGATTTATCATTCATTTTTAAACACAATCTGTTTAGAATAGATGTGTGTCCATCACTGTCACAGCAGCAAGCGTGACAGGGCCTGCTTGCCCCTCAGTTATCCCAGAGAGGGTGTGCACACCCGCTCTGCCTGAGGAAAAGAGGATCTCCACGACTTTTTGCAGAATATAAAGCCTGTTTCAGGGGCTCAATAGGATTTTACACAGTCCTCCTGTATGTGGTGAGTGTTCGTACTCATCCTCACCTGCAGCTCTGTCTGACGAAGGCTGGTGGTGTCAATCAGCTGCTGTGTCTACATTTATTAATAAAAGACAGTGTGAAGACTTCTACTTGAGAATTCCCACCTCCCCGTTATTTAATGATTTTTAAAAACCCAAAATATTTAACAGTGAGAGCAGGAGTACAGCTGAGACCTGTTACACACATGATGCATGCTGTTTAAACTGCTGGGATGTACTGGAACTAAGGATAACAGGAGGAGGAGATTGGTTTAAAACAGATAAAAGCAAGTACTTCTGTACACAGCAAGGGTGAGCTTCAGGAATTAATTATCAGAGGAGGTGGTAGAGGCAGCATCAAGAGGTTCAAAAAGGGGTAAGAGAAATTCCAGGGCATTGGGTCCATAAGCAGGTACCAAAAACCAGACAGGGGTTTCCCCTCTGATGTCCCTAATCCATGACATAGCTGCTCCTCTCCTGAAGAACCCCAGTGGTATAAAACCACCATCACAGGAGCCTCTTGCTTTGGTTGTGTGTTTTTGCAGAGGAGGACTGCAAGAAATACCTGCAGAGGAAGCGGGAGCAGGCTGAGCAGCCACTTCAAGTGCCAGCAGTGGACAGCAGCGTGCCGAAGACGCTGGAAATGATGGGCATCACCACCAGGGATGATCCCTATGGTAAGCGTCCCCGATGCCTCACTGGCATCGCCTTTAGCTGCAGCAGAGCCCCATGAGAAGCGCAGGAAACCTAATTTCTTTCATTATTCCTCATGACTCTTTGTAGCCCAGGCCAGAAGGCTTTAGCTGGCAGTCTGCAGGCATCTTCATGTTTCCTGTTCCCTAGGGCAGAGAGGAAAAGCAACCCCGGGGAACGCTGTAGCCAAAAACGGGCTGGCACAGAGCCCACTGGGCACGCATGGGAGGAGACTTCCCAAAAATGTGTCCCTTAGCACAGCCTGGCACAGAGCAGCAGCTGCTGGGTTGGAGTAAAGGGGGAAAGACGTCAGAGCCGATCGCCTTTGCTACGCTGCTCTGGGCTCAGCAGATTTAACCACCTTGGATAAAAAGGAAGCAGGGTTTGAAGTATGGCTGGGGGTGAAGTAGGGGGAGAGGAAACAGTTCTGTGCGTGCTGGGCTGTGTGGGGAGCCGTGGGCTGAGCATTCAGACATCCTGGGAAGTTCTGTGACAGACGGAGCAGCATCTGAGGCTGAATGGAGATGTCAGCGCTCCAGACGCTCCCATGGCTAATCCAGTCTTGGGTGGCCACCTTGCTGTATGTGGGGACATCATTAACCCTCCCCACATGCCCACAGACCAATGTGCTGATGTTTGCACATCAGCTTTGCCTGATGTGACCCCCAGGTTGGTGCTGCACCCCTAAAGCGGCACCCTCGGGTTGACTGACGTGGCAGACAGTTGCCCTTCTGCTTGACTGCATGCTTCTTGGGCTTCCTAGTTTTCTCTGCAGCTTTTAGAGCCTGACCTATTTTTTCACTGTGCTTGGCTTTAACCGGCATAAAAACTTGAAAATATATGTAGTGACATTGATACAGGAGGAAAAAAACACAGGAGAAAACTATCCAGCAGTATTAAGGCACACACTTAGTAAGAGATGTTGCCCTTAAAATAAGGCAGTTGAATATGTGGATAACTGCTAAATAAACAAGAGCTGCTGGCCATTAACATCTTTTGAAAACAGGGCCATTTACTTAGGATGTGACTTCAGGAGCCCAAGTTTGAGATCTTAGCCATAAAAATGGCAGGTTCCAAATTTCAAGGCCTACCTCATAGCTCAGTGGGCAGCGGATGTCAGGACTTTGCTGGCTGAGGGGCCTGCAGGGAGGTTTTGGGTGGCTCTGAAGCTCTGTGACCTGAATTAGAGAACTCAGACCCAGAGCCACAAGGACATTTTAGATGAGTAATTCCCAATTAGCTGGTCTGGTAAAATGGTAAATTACCTGTGCAAGTTTGGCCAGAGCTTGTCTGTCCAAGCTCCTGACACTGAGGCAAAGTCTGCGGGAGCTTGCAAAAGTTCACCACAGGAGTTAACGTCATTTATAGTAGATGACAGCTAAATTTTTAATGGTTTCAGGGAGCAAAACAGAGATGTTTGATGCCTTCATCTGTTACTGTCAGAAAGACCTTGAGTTTGTCCAGGAGATGATCAGGGAGCTGGAACAAACAGAGTTCAAGCTGAAGCTCTGTGTGTTTGACCGCGACGTCTTGCCAGGAACATGTGTGTGGTCCATCAGCGGAGAACTGATCGAGAGGAGGTAAGTGAACCGTGACAGACTGGGACAGCTGAGTGTCACAGAGCATTGCCTTCATTCTACCGTGATGTCTGCACTGCGGGGCCAGGGAAGCAGTAACAATCCACAAGGATGTCTTTATGGCGTTTGTTTTATGCTCTTGGCTCCATAAGGAAGACTCGAACATCCCCCCCAACATGTTGCTTCGTTGTGTTCGCAAGGAAGACACCACCATAGTGGTGCTGCTTACGGTTGATGCCTTTCCTCCTGGCTGGAACATCCTGCAGTCCCATCCTTGGAGCTGATCTGGGGACAAATACAGCTCCAGGCTGAGATAGCTCCATCCCACCAAGTGCAGTCTGAGGGGACAGCACTGCCATTGGCTCTGGCACCAACTTCAAGGATCCTTCAAGGACTTGGATGTGGTGGGAGCTGTGGGACGTAAAAGTGTTTTCCCAGATAGGGAGTGGAAAATCCCAAGGCAATGTTTGGGTTTTCAACATCAGCCTTTCACAGGGAGGTAGCTTGGTGTCGACGGAGGCACTCGTCTGGCTGCTGCCTTCCATAAAGAGCCTAATAGTTTACAACCAGGCACCTCGAATGTAAGCAACAAATCAGAGAATAAAGCTCAAATATATGAAACCAGGTAAATTCATGGTAATACGAATGCAGTAAAGCTCTGTCCAGTTCATTCTAACATGAAAAATACCAGTTATGCTCAGTCACTAAAGGCAGCATGCAAGCAGATAATTCAGATGGAATTGTTTGTACAGACAGAGGATCAAGTAAAGATTGGACAGGCAGTCTGAACTTTACTCTTTCTTCATTTTTAGTATGTGAGCGTGTACTTGTAATCAGGTTTTTGTCACGCAGCTGGCTGTCAGTAGTCCTTGGATGCAGTTAACTCCTGGGAACGCAGCTGAAATGGGTTCATTTCTGCATCACAGGGGTTCAGAGGATTTTGTAACTTCTACCACTGAAAACAAGAACCATCTCTGTTGTCATTTGATTTTTTTCTCCCGACTGCTTCATCTTCAGGTGTCGGAGGATGGTGGTCGTCATTTCAGATGATTACCTGGAAAGCAAAGAATGTGATTTTCAGACCAAATTTGCTCTTAGTCTTTCCCCAGGTAAGATCTCACAAACAACCCATTTAAAATTGTATATCCACGTTGTAGTTTTTATTACAGTAACATCTCCAGCTGAGATCAGTGCTGTACTCTTGGGCACTGCACAACTGCGGAATGAGGGGTAGTGTCAGATGTGTTTAAACAAATGAGATGAATACGGGTGAAAAAGGAGAAAATAAATAACGGGTAGTTACAGAACTTGGTCTCAGACCTGGGATCTCACCACTGACCTATGATTCATGTGTCTGAAAGTCCACCCAGGCACAGGGCTTGCCCTGGGTGTGGATGGGCAAACAAAATACAGAATGAATGTTCAACTTAGATTGGAAAAAAATCTGTGACATATTTTGTTCTGAATTGAAAAGCCATTGATTTATTTCTGTGAGATCAGACTGCTTTTCTCTAACCACAAGTTACTTGTGTATGTTGCTGGGGAGTAAGTGCAGCACAGCCTCACTGTATGGAGGATATCCAATATGTGTAGGAGCGTGCATGTAAAGTCTCTTTTCTAGATGAGGTGTCTGCCGTGGTGGTATAAATGACACACCAGAGGTCAAACTGGAAGCCAGTGGCAGAGTTAGGAACTGGCTCTGTCTTCCCTGACACAGTAATTTCATATGATGGCTGTTAATCCATTGAACGCCCCTAGCATGTTGCATCAGCTGCAAATAATCATGATTTGTAGCAAAGTCCTTTTAGTTCTTCACCAGTTTTGTGTTGGCATCATATCTTTCATTAGAACAACAGGAAAAGAAATGCCCATTTGTAATGACCTGAGCTCTACCAGTAATAATCTGTGTGTAAGTACAGGCTGGCAGAAATCAGGGAGCTGTGTGTCTGCATGGGTAACTAACGCACAGGGGGTTTGGTGGTGAGTTCTGGGAGCTCCACCGATTACTTCAGCATCTGCTGCAGTTACGAAATCCTGGTTTCTTGCCTCATCCAGGTCTCGGGGTCATCGTTCGGGCTGGGCAGCGCAGTTCAGCTGATAGCAGGTGTCCCTGTGGGGAACAAAAAGGGGAGAGACTCCTCTCCAGAAGAGCTGGATCTTGTGATGTGTGCACTGCCGTGGGAAGAAAATGCAGGATCTGACTGTGGCTCTGTGTAACCCTCTGTGTCTTCCAGGTGCTCGTCTCAAACGGCTGATTCCAGTCAAGTACAAAACCATGAAGAATGAGTTTCCAAGTATCCTGCGGTTCATCACAATCTGTGACTACACCAATCCTTGCACCAAAAAGTGGTTCTGGATGAGACTGGCAAAATCCCTCATGCTGCCGTGACGCAGTCACGAGAGCCGGGTGCTTTTTTGTCATCTGTCCTGGCTGTGCCTTCGGAGCGTGGTCGTTCACACAGGATCTTTTGCCACTTCAGACCCTGGATCCTTGCAGTTGGTGCTTGGAGCCTGCGACCGGGAGCAAAGGATTTCCTTTAGCACTTTTTATAACTTGGAAGGGGAAGCAAAGCAACTGTGGGGATGTTCCTGCTCAAGCCAGTGAGCAAAAGCATCCAGCACTTTGTGTAGTGAGCACTTGCACTGAAAATACAGAAAATGTGCATTTAAAGACTGAGTGCCTAATACAAGAACATTCTATTGTAAGCATCTAATAAGACCTCAGAGCCTCAAACTGCAGGCTTGCTTAATATTTCCTATTATTCCAAAAGCTGCTCAGTGGCTACAGTAATATCTAGGGTTGGTATTTTTTTTTTAATTCCACTGAAAGCCCCCGGCTGCTTGGTGATCTGCAGGAACTGAGGTTTCAGGCTGTTTCCTGCTTTGTGAACAGGAATTACAAGCAGGGCACACTCTTGTACCATGTCAGTGTGTCTGCCTTCAGGTCACATTTGATTAAGTGACCTCATACCAGCATTTTATATTCCCAGGTCTTATAAATGTTTACAGTAGAGCCTTCCTTTAGTAGAAAATCAGTCTTAAAATATATATTTTCAGTGAAAGTACTTACAAAGTGCGGGCTGCTGTTGCTCATTGACTTGACCAGGAGCTGTGCTCCTGAGTGGGTCCAGATCTTAAATTGTTTCCTCTTTAAGAGCATTCCAAAACACATCAGCTTTTGGGTTGCCTCAAAGGTACAGGGATAAATATTGAATACAGAGTATATTAAATTATCAATTGGGCTGTTTAAAATATAAAGCCTAATGTTGCATTAATAGGAAAGCATATTTTAATTAACCACTGTGATCATTAATGCATTTCTGTGAGTAACGCCAGGAGCCGCATTGATATCGCTGTGCCCGTTAGACTTGGCCTCCAGTTCTGCAGTGACTCGTGGATCTCCTCAGTTGTCAGTGCTTAGGGGTGGGAGGCCCAAAGTAGTGTTTGAAAGCAGCCCATGGGTGTATCAAACAGATTTCCAGTAAATATTTACTTTCTAAATTGGGAAGAGAGGAATCTTGCTTATTTATATATCTGCAGTTGCTTGAGCTCTGCCACTTCGTTCATTGCTTCAGCCACTGACTCATGTTGATTTTATGGCTTAAATGTTTTACTAATTTACATTTTTAAGGTTGTATCTGGATGAGATTTTTTTTAAGTTGTTTTAAAGCATTACCAGGGCTGAGGTGCAGACAGAAATGGGTGCTCCTGCCTTTCCCTCACCCACCCTGTCCATGGATGGTCCCTTTTTGGGGGTCCTGCCAAGTCCTGTCCACCACTGGTGGTCCCTCCTGGCTGAGAGCGGCCAGCCCTTGCCCTGAACATGGTGAAGCTTCTTCACGCACATCACGTTAGCATCAGGGGCCGGTTTTGGACAAGGCCACGAGCTGGGTGTTTGTCAGTTCCTCCTACAAATATAACTGCTGCCAAGGTGACTTTTGCACCTTTCTGTCTTGCTCAAACAAGTGAGAAGTCCATAGGTGCGGGAGGAGAAAAGTGAGGCTGATGATGGGTTTCTAAATAGTTCGACTTCATGTCCTATTGCCCTCAGGCCTCTCCTGCAGAAGCAGAGACAGCTGCTTGCCTCGGGGTTTCTGGATAATTGTGAAATGTTAATTATAGAGGAGTTTCTGGATGCTGCTTGATCCCCAGGCGCTCCTGGGGCTCGATGAATTCTCAGACTCTGGAGTGACTATAAACATTAATTACGGGTCATTACTCGCAGGACCAAACCAGAGTCCTCTCGTTTGGAGAGCTGAAGGGACTCTGGTGAGCAATGAGGGGGGAGCAGAGGAGCAGGAGCCTGCGCTGCAGACGCTAGAGGGAGGCAATGGCCTGCGCTGGCACCATGTGAGGGATCCTGACAGCCAAGGGAGGGATGGAGGAGAGATAAGAGGAATGTGTTTCCTTCCTCCACCCCTTGCACCTTCTTCTTAGGAAGGTATAGCAAAAAGAATGAGAATTTTGGCAGACTGAACCTTGTGCGGTGTCTTCCACATCAGTCCTGACGGGTGGTTTGGGACTTGGCATGTTCCACGTGAGGAAAAACTAAGAGCAGCAAAAATAATAATGTTTGTAGCAGATGATCTGGTGATCGCTGAACAGGGAAAGTGCTGCTTCTGCAAGGGAAAGCAAAAACAAGAGCTGAGTTTCTAAACCTTGTGACTTCCAGTAGATAAATCCAATATTCCACATAATTGGGAAAGATGTCAGTGCTTTGGCTGGATCTTGCTGTGACCCGCTCGCTGTGCCCTGGCCTTTCTGTCTGCCTGGCTCGGGTGCTGGGCAAGTGTTGCTGTTGTCAGAGTGCTGCTTTATTGCAGACAGTCACAGTTGTCGGCTAAAATAATGATTTTGGGGTAAAGTGAGGTAACAGCCCTTAAAGCATAAAGTACGTGCTTTAAATATGTGCGCTCTTCTATGCAAAAACCACCGTTTATGCACTTGGACATTTCCATATCTGTCTTGCCACGGTAACTTGATGAAGGTCGACATCTATGAATGACAGGAAATGCAGTGGTTGTAAACACGTTTTGGTGGCAGTTGTGGCTCCCCTGCCCTCTTTCACGCGCAGTGGAAGGTCAGAATTTTGAACACCTTTAAAAAAGGGACTTACAAAATCGTGATGTTAATTTTTGTATTCCATTTTGTTTGTTTCTCTCACTGAAATTGTCCTAGTTGAATCTGTTAGTACCAAATCATTTATTTTTATATAAATACCTATATATTTATATTACTTTCTGTCCTGATATAAATCTGTGGAAAAGCTAACGTGCTGTATGGCCATTCTGAAAATAAGTCAACGATTCTGTGTATTTTTGCTCCTCAAAAAGACCAAACTTTTGCTGCTTGTGAAAAGATTTGAAAATAAAGAATTAAAACCCAGCGGGCTGTGTCTGTCACCGTGCTGGGACACGTCCCCTCTGGTCCCCAGCAGGGATGCTGAGCGGTTCGCCCCTACTCCGCATCCTTTCCCGAGGCCCCGGCAGGGGATATATTGCAGCACAGCGATCCGGAGGATTTTGCCAGCTTTTATTTCCTTTGGCTCGGAGTCAGGCCAAGGCAGGGAAATAACTTCCAAACCCGGCAGCTGTCGGGCCAAGGCCCTGCCACAGGAAAAGACGAAGGAGCACTGAATCACAGCAGCGTTGGTTGGGAGGAATTTTTGGAGGTCAAGGACGCACTGCAGGAGGGGCCGCTCGCAGGATGATATTCCCTATAGAGCACATGAAGTAATGCCTTTGCTATGGCTACTATGAGCGAACATATGGACAGTGGTATGGAAACCATCCCTCAATATATTATTTCAGATAGAAATCGCTGACAAGAGCAGCGTGCCAGGAGGGGCCCACTCCTAGAAGCATCAGCATCCCATCCCTTTCAGTGCAGCTTTACAGCGCTCGCCTGTTGGGATGGTTTTGGGCAGCTGATGGTTTTTGAGTGCATTTGGCAGTAGCTCAGACTCAGGTGGGCTCAGAGGATCCGCTCCCTTATCTCCTCTCCTATTATGCCAGAAGAAATACCCCAGTCCTCTATTTCACTTCGATGCAGGAATGTTGGTGCCATCTCATTTACTGGAGGATAGCGTTTACCTGGTGAAATGTGGTAACTGCCGCAGGATGTTCGAAGCTTCAGAGATGTGGAGTGAGAGGTGAGGTGTTGTCCCTCCACGGATCAAATTCTGTTCTTGGTTACGCTGACATGAAAAAGGTCGCTTTCTCAAGATTGAGGCATTGTTTGGTCACATTTGCAGGAAGGAAGCATAGGGAAGAAAACACAATTATGCACTAAAACAGCTGGGAAAATGTTGCTTGAGCATCTTGGAAACGTATTTTAATAAGGCAATAAAGACAAAAATTACAAGGTTCACATTACTGGAAAGCATGCTAATAGAGCGCATGAAAAAGCACCTCTGTCAGACCTGCAGGGGTTTTACCAACCAGCCACACTCTGTGTACAAATATTTCTCTAAAGGTATTTTTCTCCTGCTGCTGTGTTACAGCCAGTTTTGGTTCAGCTGCTCCTCACTGGGATTTCAAAGTGACTTTGAACCTGACACAACTTCTTGACAAGCACTGTCAAACCCTGCCCAGAAAACTTGGGGGTTTTTTTGTAGCCAAATCATAGAATCACAGCATGGTTGGTGTTGGAAGGGACCTTAAAGCTCATCCAGTCCAACCCCTGCCATGGGCAGGGACACCCCCACCAGCCCAGGCTGCTCCAAGCCTCGTCCAACCTGGCCTTGGGCACTGCCAGGGAGGGGGCATCCACAGCTTCCCTGGGCAACCTGGGCCAGTGTCTCACCACCCTCACAGTCAAGAATTTCTTCCCAATATCCAGTCTAAATCTCTCCTCTTCCAGTTTAAAACCATTCCCTCTTGTTCTGTTGCTACCTGCCCTTGTAAAAAGTTCCTCCCCAGCTTTCCTGTAGGACCCCTTCAGGAACTGGAAGATTGAAAATCTGCAACCAGGAGAGTGGATATTGTTGTATCCACTCTTGAGCTGTGCTGTTCTGCAAAGCTTTAATTAATGGAAGGTGTATTTAAGTGTTAAATGATTCCAAAGTCCGATTTATGAACAGTGCGTTTTCTGTTGCTGTTTTCTCTTGCTCGGCTTAGCAATGCGCCTTTCCCTCCTCCCGTTTCCGCTGGTAAAGCTGCTCATGCAGTGGCAGAGGTCCATGCCCACCGGCCACAGTTTCTTCCATCTCAGCTGGGCGTGATGTTTTCCACAAAGCCATGTCAGGGTGCACCAGCAGCTGTGAGCTGCTGTCCTGTGCTGCGAGGGATGCACCCCTTCAGTTCAGAACATGAACCTTTCATCCACTGCACCGGGAGCTTCGCAATTGAGAGGCTTCAGTTCCAATTTCCCCAATTCCTAGGCTCACTTAGGTTGGGTTTTGGTGGGCCTGGACTGGATGGAGGGAATACATGTGGTCAACATTGGCCATGAAACACTTAACTAAAAAAAATTTGCTTGGAAGGTTTTTCCTCCTCCTGTTGCACACCCACCTTTCCCACTGCCCTGCAGAGCGGAGACATCACGGTCGCTCCATGCTGCGCTTTC